ACCGAACAAAATTATCTATTGCTTGTTTAGTGTTGTAAACACATGCGTTAGCAGGGATGCAGTTTTTATGGCAAAAGAGCTGCCAAATGTTAGCATGTAAACATGGGGACAGCATAAAGAATTTGCTTATATTTATGGAAAAGCACAAATGTTGACATCTAAAAAACAGTGCCCCATAATCATAGAATTTCATTCCATAATGGGTAAATTGCACCGTTAGACCCTCAGATTTGCCACTTGTTGCACTTTCATCCTTAAAGTTCTAATTTCGTTAATTTCATCCCCAACGTTTAAACATTTAGCTAATGTGGTCCTTCGTGCTAATTATCATTTGCTGCTCTTTGGGGGCATTTATGGTTTTTATTATAATCCATGATCCAAACACAATTGTTCTCTATTTGAACATTATTAAACATGAACCCAAACATGAGTCTTCTTCCTCATTTTTGCCCCCTCTCTCATAGAAGACTCTCAGCGTCCCTTTCTCTATTTACTCAACGATCTCTTCCAAACCCATCAATTACCCTCTATATCTCTCTCCAATTTCAGACTCTACATATTCAAATAATTTTTTTTTCAATCTCTACATATTCAAACTATCTCTCCCAGTTTACTCAACTCTCTCCCTTTCTATGCGCACAAATCACACCCGTCCGCAACACACACACACACTCTCTTCAAATTCTCTTTCTTTGTACACATAACGTACATCACATTGCAACACACCCAATCAAGCCAATTCCATAAGAACCAACAACACTCAATTCAACCGATTGTAATACAAAAATCAAAACTCATAATTCAAAATAATGCAATATCTAATCACAAATCTCAAGCGAAAATCGAAATCAAAAATTTAAGAAAAGTTAACAATCAAAATTAAAATAAACTATGGCTTACTGGGTTGGGGCAGTTTGTTCGAAGATGAGATTTGGGGATAAAGGCAGAAATTGAAGTTAGAGCGGCGAAGATCAGCTCATGGTGTAGGATGGAGTCGTCCTAGTGGCGATGGAAGGTGGAGGCAGCATAGCGGTGGATTAGGATGCTGCACCATCAATGAGAGAAAACACACACACACATAGAGAGAAAGATGTAAAAAACAAGGGAAGGGCGTGGGGAGGGGTTGGATGGTGGAGGGGTTTGTGCAAGTTGAGAGACAGAGATAGTTGGTCGGCAACCATGGTTGTAGGCGGCATTGACGGTGACTGAGAGAGAAACGAAGTGATATGGAAGAGACTTGAGTTTCTCCAATTTTTGTTTTATTTAATATATTTATTATATTACATTTGTACCCTTTATTTTTATCATATAAATACATAAATGCCCTTTAATTGTATCATTTGTTCGGCACATGCTATTTCCATCCACGATGTGGACGACAGTTAGTGCAAAGGACTACATCAGTTTAATGTGTAAATTTTGGGGACAAAATTGATGAAATTAAAATTTTAAGGACCAAAGTGCAATGAATAGTAAACCTTAGAGACTATTGGTGCAATTTACCCTTCCATAATTTTACTTGGAGTAAATTAAGGACACCCCTGACAGTTGGGAAGATTGTCCAGTCACCCCAAACATTGGAGTATATTGTCTAGTGGCCAACCCAGGGTTGCATAAATCACAATAGATACCCCAATTGAACATATGTGTTGATAAATGACTTATTTACCCATGGTCAGGATTGGAAATTTGGTCAAAACTAATAATTTGGTTAAAAATGATAAAAAAATATCAATTGATCAAAATAAAAAAACAAGGAAAAAGAGAGAGAAACCCGGACACTTACCCCCACCCTTTTCCTTCACAACAAAACCACCCCTCATCTGAACCCTTCCATTCTTTTGGAACTATCCCCCCTCACCTCCCACAACCCCTACCCAACTGTCCCGTCCCCCCATTGGAGAACCACCACCTACAACCACTACCACCACGAACATTCCTCTATTCTTTGATCATCGTTTCAATCAAAGTCCATATATCCACGTTGAATTTTGAAAAAAATTCTCCAAGAATCGTCCAACTCCCACTTTCTAACTTTGTACATATCTCTTTCTAACATCTTCAAGTCTTCTCTAACCACAAACTTTACGCCATCGTCTCAAATGGTTGGAGGTGTGGGCTGGTTCATTAGATGTGGAGCCAAAGATCAAAATTTCGTTTCAGTGCATTGTTTCGGTCACCTAGAAAATTGAAACGTTTCGATGTGTTTTGGAAACGTTTCGATTCGTTTCAGAAACAGAATGAAAAAAATAAAAAAAATTAAGAATTATTTTTCTAAAATATTGGTCAAAATATATCAAAATATGTTGAAACATTCTGAAACAATTGTGCAAATGCATTCAAACATTACAAAATATCTCAAAATATTATGAAATATCTCTAAGTATTAGAATTTCAATTTCATCACTAATTCGTTTTGGTCTACTTGAAAACGAAAGTGTTTCTATACAAAATTTTAATCACTGTATGGAGCACCAAATATTGTCGAGTTCTCAACTTTACATATGAGGCTTGAGTCGGAAAAGACAAGGGAGATGAGATAATTTTATGAGTCTGAGTTTTGAGTGGCGATGGGATCCTAGTTGAAGAGAGACAAAGAAGAGATGTTATAAGGACAAAACTGAAGCATTGGACACAATCCAGCGAGATAAAATAGATAAAGTACAATCATTAAGTAACATTGTGTAATATTCATGTGCATATTTATGATGTTGTGGAGTGGTGTGTGAGAGCAAAAAGAACAAGGTGTGTGTGAGAGCAAAAAGAACAAGGTGTGTGTGAGAGCAAAAAGAAGCGTTCTCCTGATCGAAAATGTGTTGGTCAGAGTATAAGAGGGAAGAGAAAGAAAAGAGTCAGGGTGCTCGACTACTAAGTCAATTTTGTTCCTCTGAATGATTAGTTTGAAAACAGAAATTATTTGTTCCAACAACGAATAAGGTAGGAATATTGCTTTTATAGCATTATTTTTTGCTAAAATTATCTTTTTTGTGTTGCAAGGGATTTTTATTGAGGTCAACAGATTGTTTGAGGTCTCGGTATCAACCATCAACTCGAAAGGTATTGATGTATATCAATCTTGGCGTCACGAAACAATATCGACCGATAAGAACAAAAGGCTGAATAAAAGGTCCAAAGAATTCTAAAATAAATGATCAAAAATTTTAAAAAATATAAACAATAATGTCCATGCATTATATGTCCAAAATACATCAGTCAACAAATTAAAAATAGTGAAAATAAAATATAAGAGCATTATCAATAATATTTACATTTAGTTTACAACACTTAAACAAATTAACAAATACAAGCATGTACAACTATACAATCTTTTATGCAACCTGAAGTTAAAAAAAAAAAAACTCCCCCAAAAATTAAAAAAGAGAACTCTAGAGATAATCGCTTATGTTGGTAAAAATAAAAAAGGCAAAGCTTTTAATGTTAATGGGGAGGGCCCACACTAACATAGGGTCTTCTTTTGTTTCCTTGGTCCCGAGTTTTTTAATCTTTCACGTCATTTTAAAATGACACTTTGTTACACTAGAGGGAGATAATTAGAAAGACATGAGTCAAGAGGGAACCATAGAGATTGAGAAAGAGAGAGAGAAACTGAGAGATGACTTTGATCCAATCAACGGCTCAAGCACCGGTATCCACCAATGGGAATGAGGGATCTGGGTCACTGTCTACTGAATGTTGTGTTGTGCGATAGCTTTGCAAAGAAGAAGAAAAAGGCACTCTCACTTTGATTTACTGGTTTGTCTTGTAAATTTTTACATCATTTCTTTTGATTTCTCCCATTTAAGGTTAAAAATTTGTATATTTTCATTTGGTTGCTTCTCATTTTCCCTTTTTCTTCGCCCTTTCGCACATTGTCTAAGATTTGGGCGATTTTGTAAACAATTCACCATATTATACCAATTTGGTTATGAATTGTCCGAGTCAAACGAGTTGAGTCCGAGTTATGCCCATATATCCAAGTCATAACTGAGTCAACACTGATTTAGGTGCAACTCCTCATATTTGTGAAATAGGTACTAATATTGGATCAGAGGTGACAGAGTCGAATACGACTTGGCCAAGTTGTATCAGACTCGACCGATTCTTTGAACTCCGGGGTCAACGTGTCAAAAAATAAAAATCATGGGGTGGCTAAAGAATAAACATCATTTCAAAGGCTATCATTTATTCACCAGCAAAAGAATAAAAGATCACCACACAGTTGGACCCCTTTAATCGAGGGCACTGAGAAGAGTGGACTAGATACATATGTAATCCATTGCATTATATGTACCAAGTGATTGTTCGGTTCTATTAAAATGTATTGGCACGTGTCAAAAATATACTTGAAGGCATGCCATTATTAGGAAGAAAGATATTAACAATGAAGTTGTTGTAAGGTCCTTCACTGTCTATACCTTTGCCATTTGTCCCATCCAATATAAGAGGAAAGAAGATTGCCTTAGGTAGGAAGAGCTAGGTAGGAGCACCAATTAAGCAAACAGCAAGTGGTCATCTTCTCTTATCGTATGGTTTTACTCCGACTGGCCCTCAGGCTTTCTTGGAACACTTTCTCATCTTTTTCCTCCATGCTTAAAATTCTTTTATGTATATAGGTGTAAAATAACAAAAGGCATTGCACTTCCAAACAACCTTTATTGTTGTTGTGTGAGTCTTTCCTTGAAAAATAGTGCAACTTTGAGAATTTTCATTTGTCTTAACCTTGAAAAGAAGCATATCTCCCGTAGACGCTTCCACATTCCAACTCATGATCAACACACTTTGGACATTGTTATGATTCTCCTATGTGTAGGAAAAAATATAATTTTGAAGAAGAATCACAAGGGGTATAAATGTCATTTTGTTAAACAACTGACTAAATTTAAAAACAATTTAAGATACAAAGAGACCCATTCAAAAGGAGTGCAGGTGAGAAGAGAGGAGACGTAATAACTAGTTTTTACTACAAATTTGGTTGCACATGCATATGCTCAAACATGCATTCACATCGCTGCGCCTCTAACATGTCCATGTCCTATTTTCAAAAATTGACTAGTCGACATGCCAAAACTTTAGTGTGTCTATGCAAAATTGAACTTGAATGCCTCCTCTAGAAGCCCTTAATGTTTGTCAATCCAGGTACGTCATGTTACTTACCCAAAATAAAGGGTGGATAAAGAAAAGATATACAACTTAAAACAGGAAAGCTCGAACCAATCATTTTGAAATTGCAAGAAATTACCAAATATATATTTTGCAAAAAAATACGAGACAAGGAATTTTCCAACAAATAACATAAGATACCAACCTCCACAAGGCATACTATTATTCTGGTCCGAGTGGTTCATAACAAGAGAATATCCAGCCACATTCAATGATGAAGCTGAAGACATATTCGTATTCAAGGACGATTCCACCAATTTATCCTGAAGAATGATTCATTTAGAATACTGTTTCTTCAATCAAACATTCCATCCTAAAGACACTAAATAATTTAGTAGATTAAAAGAGAAACCCTGCAGATTGAATGGTAACCACTAAATTAGGCCCAAATGATTTTTGGTAATTTTCTTTTAGTAGTAAATTGGCATTTGACTTTTTGTGCGTTAACACGCATACGCACCCTGCTTAACCACTTAACCATATATTCTTATCAGTTGAATCTGTGAGCAGGTCAATGTCACAAGAAAGTGGGTATGATTTCCAATTTTACCAAAAACAAAAAGAAAATTAAAAGATAAAAAAATGTATTTTTTATCGTTACACAAGAAGATGAGATCATTATCAATTTCTAAAAGTTACTTAAACACAGGTAGTAGCAAACCTGGGTTGAATAATGAAAGAAAAGGTGTAGACAATAATGAGATGACAATAACTTAAAAAGGTAACTGAGTACACATACCTTCCTATCTTTCACTTTCTTGCCCAAATTATGGTCTTCCTGTTTCCTTCGTTTCCTCTGTAAACATATTTTATCTAGGTAAGTATATTCACACAAACAAGCAGGCCTCAATCAATTCAAATACATTTGTTAAAGCAAACAAGAAAGAAAAACACCATCCCAAACCATCCTCAAATTTAGTTATTTTCCCCTTTTCATAATATCGATTTCATTCTTTTCCTTCTATTAAAATAATCGAAAGAAAAGATATGACTATACTGAGTAAGAAGCGCACCGTCATCCACCTACATCTCAGTGCAACATCACGAACAGTTTTGTCATGCAATGTCGCTGCAATCTTAACATACCTCATAATACTAGGTTCATCGGCAAATCTACAAATTTCATACATAAAAACCAACATATTAATATGGATATCCAACTCAATACCAGAAATAAATGAAATCTACCACTAAAATAAAAACGACAGCAAGAAAAGGAATTAATATCAGAATTGCTCAATAAGAATTAGAAACAAAACATTGACAACCGGTCAAAATACATGAAAATATGTCAGAAATGCCATTGAAGTGTAGCTACAGCAATCTGAGTCTCAAAAACCACAAAACAGAAGGGCCAAAGACAGCAATAACACAGGTGGGGAGCAGAAACTTACAGAACATAATACAATTTACCAATATTCCTCACCTCTTTTATTTTTTATCACTTTCCTGATACATACATTAATTTCTTAGCCTTCTTTCTTGCGATCTGTTATTTAAGGAATTATGCAAGTAAATCCCAGCAGATTGTTGCCTAAATAGTGAAAAGTACTACACATTTATTGATAAGTTACCATATTGTAAGCACACACAAGTATAGATGATAATTGCAGTATCATCAATAGTAGAACCAATCATACAAATTGCACAGGACAAGTTTAGACAACCATGATTTTTCAGAAGCAATCTATTTAATAAAGCAGAGCTGTTTTTGAATCTCAATGACAAAAAGCAGCCCAAATCGTTTCGAGATAAAACAAAGCATCATCCGCATACCATGTTACCCCAACATAAAAAAACGGTTCAAATCATTTTAAATTTAACTTATCCAACGAATCAGAATGAGTCCTAACAATTTTCTCCCGCAGAAAGAAAAAAAAACCTATTTTTTAATTACCATCTGTCACACCTACAATTACTCGGTAAAGCTCTCACCAATATATATCATTTCCAAACTGAGCTCAATCTCTATCCCCAGTTGTCTCCCTCAAATCTTCTCCTTCTTTCCTCCAAATTTACTTTCTGAAGTAAGATACATGGCTGATGTTATCCCAACATAAAAAATAGCCCATATCATTTTAAAGTATTAATATAACAGACTAAAATGAGTCTTGAATTTTTTTAATGTTTACAAGTTTCCATATTTAGTTACCTTTATCAGGGTCGGCCCAAGATTGTTTGAGACCTAAAGCGACAATTGGAAATAAGACTTTATTTTTACTATTAATAATTTTTTATTTAAAATTTATTCTTTTTTTTAGATTAAAAGTACTATTATTTTTTATGTCTAAATTTTGCAACCATATCTTTTATTATTGATAATATCACTAATCCAACTAATTTTTCTTATGATAATAAATCTTGGGAAAGATTTTATCAATTTTAGTTTTAAAAATTTTCTTTTAATTTTAAACAATCATGGTCTACTAATTTTAATTTTTCGTAATAGAAATAAAAAAATCGTAACACCAAAAAAAAAAAAAAAAGAAGAGGATGTTTGTTTAGTAGAGAAAGAGATTTATATATATATGAGATATATGTTTGAGATTTTTTAAGTTGTGTTTTGTACACATAACAAAGAGAGAATGCTTACAAATAAGTAGTGTGTTTTGATTGGCTAGTTGAAATTCCCTTAGCTTTTGCTTTCAAAAAAAAAAATTTATTTTGGTGTATTTTTAATATTATGAGTTGGGCTCAAGAGCCAAAACTATTCAAATTTATTTTTGATTAGGTTTAAATTTTACAAGGGTTTTTTGTGGACCTAAATCTGATGGATCTAAATTTTTTTTAATTCGGACTAACCATACACCTAAAAATTTTATGGCCATCTTTGGACATGAGACCTAAAGCCTAGGTTTTATTGGCCTTATGGTAGGGTCAACCCTGAACCGTATTCACACGTTTAATCACCCCCTAATGCTCTCACTAAACATCTATTGTCTCTCCCCTTTTATCTCTTTTCCAAACGGAGCTATCTAACACTCAATTTCTATGCCCATGTCTCCCTCAAATCTTCTCCCTCCCTCCCCAAATCTGTTTTCCAAACTAATACCCAATGTTGTGCCCTAATATCACTTTCCAAATTCACTCCCCTCAATCACACGATTTTCTGACAAATCTCTCTTCCTAATTTTTCTCTCTATCTACCAACTCTATATTCTCATTTCTCTCTTCCCTTTTTATGCTCTCATCCTTTTCTCTTCTCTCTCCATCAACAACTATTGTCGAAAATGGCGCCAGCAACCAAAGCAATGCCAGTATCTCTCTCTCCTTCCCCATCTCTTACGCACGCCTCCACCTCTCTTACTCCTCTCCTCCTCTAACTAGCATTGTCAACCCTTTCCAGCCAGCACTGTTTATCATGCTCTCAACTCCCCCACCCTCCACCTTCTGCCACACCCCCATCTCCTTCACCCTTCACTTTCTACCCCCAACGCCTACCACCACCAAACTCCACCTCCACTCCTTTCATCCTCTTCACACACACACACACACACACACACACCCCCACCCTCAACTACAGTGTAGCGAAAAAATTTCATAGAAATTTCAATTCAAATTCTAGAGTTTTAATTCCATGCATAGCATCAATTTTATGCCATGAGATTGCTTGTTAGAATTGAAAAGACAAAAATGCATCTAATGTGTTTGACAACATGCGTATTCAAAATGTAGCTTCTTGGACAACCACAATTGCAGGGCTTTGGCCTAATGTAGTTTTTTATGGAAGTTTTTACTCTTTTATTGTTTGTATTGCTTACTATTTTACATTTTCAGAACCATTGTATTCATCTATTAAGACTCCCAGATTGGTGAGTCTTTATGATTTTTGTTGTGACACTACTTTTGTTCCTCAAATACTTCTTTAGAATGTTCTTTGATCTTCACACATTAACATATTCACAATTTTCTGACGATGAAATTGTTTGGATTTATGTTTGGCACTTTGTTTTTTGTGATTTGATTTTTATAGGAAGAGCAATCTTGGTTTGTCCGCTTGAATATAGTCATGAGCCTTAACATGTACATTCTCACTCAAATTTTAGTAGTTGAAACTCAAAAACTTAACTTTTTGCAAGACCAAGTTCCCTCTCTCTTTCTTTCTCTTTTCGTAGTTGAATCCTCCACTCCAAGTATGTAATTTTGTTTACTAGATTTTTGGTTCAATAATTTTAAGGTGAATCAATCTAACTGTTACAAAATTTTTATGGTTTGAATATTCATGTTGATTGAATTTTTTTTGTATTCTTAAATCTTTTTCTTCGAGGTTGCATGATTGAGTATCATTGCTTTTGGTTTGATTTTTTTGATGAAGTAAAATGTCTTTAGACTACCATGAAGGGAATTATCTGGTATTTGCGAATGTGGTGAAGAGGGCTTTGTCAAGTACTGTGCTGTCTTTAAATTGCTTTGTTGCTATTTAGCAACTCTCATTGATTAAGAACTATTGGTATTGTTTGATGTTAACTTCAAGTCATTGGTTTCTATTTTGAATTGAATGATAGAGGAATGCAATTTTGTTGCAAAAATACTTTTTAAAATGCCCAAGCAAAAACAAAATGAAGATTCATTTATTTATTATTTTATGTGTGAAAGAGGGATGCCTAGAGCCTTTCTCTGTTATGCGAATAGAAAAAGAAGGAACATGCATGGGTGTCATTTCTGTTTTGTAGGTCGTCTTTGATGTTTTCTTTGGGTTTTCTATATATGGGATTTGGTTCATATTGGTTAGATTTTTCATTTTTTTTTTTTTTGCGGTTTCAAGTTGAATAATTAGGATTTAGTTAATCTTGATTTCCCTATTGAATTTAATTTTTCACAGCATTATGTTAGGTCATCCAAATGTTAGATGTTGTCCAGCAAAATATGCTGGCGGTGTATGAGAAATAGGAGAGAGAAGAAGCAATGCCATTAACTCGGCAACTCAAGCAATTTAGCTGCAAATGCTATATTCTCTATGTTATATTATCTATACAATGGTTGATGCTTTTTTAGGAAGAACGCTATTTTTTTATGTTAAAAAATTCTCAATTTTACTAGCTACGAAGCATCAAATTTAAGGAATGAAGCTTTTCAATTAGTTTATTATATGGTCTCAATGTTAGATTTTTGAGTTTTGTATATGTTGACAAAGTATTTACAGTTTTCCTACAATGAGAGGATTCAAAACTAAAACATTTTTTGATACGTGTGGGGAAATTGCAGTGTGTCAAAGGAATGTTATTCCCACTGCTCTCGGAGGAGAAGAGGGCTTCGGAGTTGGGGTAGTGGATCCTAGGATTTAGGATAGGAAGGGTGATGATAGGTAAATTTAGACAACATTGAATTTTGTTTCTCTGGATAAAATTGTGTGAATATGTAAATTTGGACAAGCACAAGAAATTGTTATTACTTAAACCAATAAAAGGTCGAGCTTGTGGCTTTCAGCTTATGCAAACATATAAAAGGTCCAATGTTGTTTGTAAGTGTTGGGGGTGTTTGGTATATAAAAAGTATTGTAACTTTGGGCAAAAAAGTTAATTTTATTTTTTGCCTTTGAAGGTTTGGGATAAAAAGCATGTTTAAAGTGTCGATTTGGACAAAATGATTAAACTTTTATGTTAATTTATGTATTAATGGTGAACTTATGTAGCTGCCACAGTATGTGCTAAATTTGTACGTCATCTTTTTGCTCTTTGAATGGCTAATTTCAGAGTTATGATTGGTCCTTTAGGAGTGTGTATTTTTATTTGTATGTCATACAAATTAAGTTCAATATTTAAGTTTGCGTATGAAGTTTCATTTTTTTTTTCTACTTTTGATTGTTGTAGAGAGCTAGAAACTTATTCACCTAATAAGGCACAATGGAATTGATTTGAGTTGTGTTTCGTTAAATAACTGTTTAATTATATAAGTAGTGTACAAAGATTGTTATTGTTCTTTTTTTTGTTAAAAGATTGTTATTGGTAAAGGGTCATGTTTTCAAAGAAAATTTTTAAAAATAATAGTCGGCTCATATTGATTGCCATTTTTTTCTATTTTTTTAATTGATGACTTTTTTTGTTATGTGGGCTCATATTGATTGACGATTTTTCTCAATTCTTTTGATTGATGGCTTTTTGTATAATATAGTGTCTTCAGGCAATTGTTTGTGATTTTTTTATTTGTTACGCAACGCCTTCACTCAAAGGCAATTACCAGTACAAGTATATGTTCTGAGAAGGGGGAGATCTTTCTTTTTCCCCTCCCTCCTGCTGTCCTCTCTCTCTTACTCTGAAAGCCCTTGGGGACCTATGAGGGATCGAGAGGCGGATAGGGACAATGACCATAAATCATTGATGGACCCTCCCTTGAGCAACCTCATGGAACTCCCAGCCAGGGTTGTTTAGGTTCTGAAATTGCATTAACAGAATATATAATCAGTATCCCTTTTTCTTTTTTCAGCTGAAATAGTAACAGAAGTCCAAGGATTGAACAAAATCACCAGTGTCAAATCCAGCCAACATTCAAAATAACAAACGACCACGACTTATACCAGGAAAAAAAAAGGCTAACAACAAGGCAGCATGAAGAGCATATCTATTGGAATGCACAACACAAACATGACCTCAATAAAAAATATGCCCAAATAAAACTGTAAAGACCTGGAACAAGCTACCTACTTGACAAGGCCATCCTCCAACCTGTACTGTTCCTCAGCAGACCACTCCACAGCCAAACCTGTATCGTGCTTTAGCCCTGGCACTGAATCCAGAAGAAGAGAAGGTGAAGAATTCCCAGCTTGAGTCGTAATTACAGGATTGTGGTTCAAAATACTTGAATTCCCGGAAAACATCATGCCCCCAGCTACACTATTTACACCATGGCCATAGTAATTCCCCATCGGAATCATTTCAGATGTGCTGTTTATCGCACCCGATTGAAACGATATGGCGTGTCGATTAAGTGCAGCACCCAAAGTCTGGTCGTAATGAAACCCTGTGTTCGATTCGGCCGCCATTTTTCTTCAAATCCAAAAGAAAAAAAATGGAAAATCGCAATCAAAACGGTGCTTGAATTGACGTAGCGTAAAGCCACCGCTTTATAGGAAGACAGAGCAAACACTGCACTGCTTAGGATTCCAAAAGCTGAAAAACTTTACCTTCTGAAAAGTCCAGAATCTATACTAATTTCGAATATTAAATCCAATTAAAACCTCAAATTCCAAACTACAAATCCACAGCTAGAAGAACACGTACTCCCGAAAAGCTCCATCTCCTGTTCATCAGATTACAGTCAGTACAGCTCCGAACCTCAAAGGGGGGAATCGAATTTCAATATAATTGATTCAACCCATTACTGAACCCTCGAAAACAGAGAGAAGTAAGAGACTGATAGCAGAGACCGAACGCAGAAAATCAAAAAACAACCCAAGCTGTGGTAGGGAGAGAGAAGAGAAAGGAAAGGAGACACCTTTCTAAATGCAAAACTTTTTTTCTTTGCTCAGAGAGAGCCCTAATTGGCTCTTCTGTTGCCTTTTTTTGTCATCACTATTACTTTTGCTTTTGTTGTTTAGCTCTCTCTCTCTCTCTCTACCTGTAACCTCTAAATCAATCTGTAAAGCAGTTGATACATTGGAGCTACGCCAATGGGAAGGAGAGGAAGAGAATAAGGTTTGGGTTCAGAATGAATTAAATAAGTGAATTTTTTTATTTTTTATTTTTTATTTTTGGTAGTGTAGAATTGTAGATCTTGGATTATCAATAGTGCGAATCCCTATAAGCATTTCATGCCAATAATTGTGCAGTCTCCACCTTCCTCGTGCAATTCAATTCCATCGTTCAACATTTACACTCACAACCTACTTGAATCATAGAGATAGGAATGCATGCATTCATGGTTTTTATAATTACTCTAGCATAGCTTGTACAAAAATGTTGGACACAAGGGATAAAGTATGACCTTATGTTTTGTTACCATTTTACGCTCATGCATTATAAAGAAAATATAATGACAACTTTTACGTGACTAAAGTAACCATGTTACTAATACATATGAAGTAGAAAGAGAGTCAGTAATTATTCTATTTTTATTATTTATGTAGAATGAGAGTTAATTATGAATATTCTAAGTGATTTACTATCTAAATCATGCCAATTTTTTCTAATTAATTAGACATGTATTTATTTATTTTTAATAACTTTCCTAAGACTAGGGATTTGTTTCTATTTTGAAAACCTTAGGATTTTGGATTTTTTTATAAATTGTCCAGTATAATACAAGTTTTAGAGAGTTAATCAATTGAATATTGCAAAATTTGAGAGTTTTCTCTTCATTTTCTTTGTAAATTCATAATGTTTTTGTTCTTTACACTTGGAGACAGTGATCTCTTCGTGTTCCTCCTTTACTGCTACGTCAATTGGTATCAGAGTCTTGACTGACTTGGTATCATCTCTAATCAACGAAGTGATGTCAACTTTTTTCATGTTAGTGATCATAGGAACAAAGTTTTATCCTAAGGACTGAATTCTTGAATTTCAATGATAGCAACAACAACAACAATAGTTCCAACAATTCCAACAATCCTTGCAAAAGCTATGGGTTACAATTGTCTAGTTGGTGTTTGGTCGAAACCAAGATCTCAATTGAGATAAGGTGTTGAATGCGCAACAGGACTTGTGTTTAATTTTTTTGTGATTGTACTCGTATTTATCCTACAAGACAGTGTGTTTGTGGTAAAGCTACTGGAATGTCACTTTATTGCATATTGTAAAAATGTTGACAAATATGGTATATATCAATCTATGAGGCAACAAAGTGAGATTGGATCAAGACAATCAATTCGAGGTAATACTGAGTCCTAATCATTTTCATCATATAATGATTATTCTGCGAGTCAAGTTTCATAACATAAATCTATGAATGTGGATTTTTAGAGCACCTCGAGGGATCAGAAAAATGACGAGAAAAAAACTATTGAATTATTCCCATGTGTTCATCCCAAAAAATGTTCACAGTGGTGGATGACCAGAATTATGACATGGCAACTGGTTGGATTATTCCTTTAAGAGAAGTCAAGGACTATAAGGACTCTGATGATCGACCCTCTGATGATAAATTCATAAAGGAATAATCTAAGGAAACTATATTCAGTTTAGAGTAGCCAACTTACTTGAATAATGCCCAGCTTGGCCTTTTTATAGGTCAAAAGATTGGATCGTTGAAGATCCTTAGCTACTATTTGAATGGGGCGGCACTAGAAGTGGAATAAACGAGGGCGTCTATTAGTGTAGATATCTCAACTGGTTTGAATTAGTTAAGACGCGTGGAGCTAGGGTGATGTTGAGCTGGGATGCTAGCAAACAAGGCGTTGAAGGCCTTCTGAGCCATGGAACTCATATTCGAGTGGCAGAGCTTATATGTCGAGCTAGTGCCTAATTTATCATTATTAGTTGACCCTTAATTTGAACCAGTGAGTTATACGTGCCATGAATTTAATGCATTTGTCCATTAGCGCCTAAGAAAGTGAAAACAATGGATGTGCACACGTAACCGTCAGAGATCTGTCATGGGGCTTGCGTATAAAACCTTCTTCTTTCCCTCTACTACCCCCAACACATCTTTTAAAGCTCTAAGAAGTTTGGTACACTCTTCCTGGTTCATCTTTGTCTCTCTTAATCTTTATGTTTTATCATAACTAGTCATCTTAGAACAGATAGGTTGGAGCTATACCTTTCAGTTTCATTTTTATAGCTTTTGTTTTCTTTCGTGGAAAAACTTTAATCTTGATCATCTTGAACACATTGTGGATAAGTTTATTGGAGTTTGGCTTGAATTTGTTCTTGATTTTTGCTTTTCTTTGATTGTTAATATCCTCATTCATCTCCTTTCACCAAATTTGTAAATCAATCATAATAATTTTCCTTTTATGGCAACTGATTCTGAGCACACATCTCTCCATCACTAATGTCCTAGGCGATGCAAAAAATGAGGATTTTGACTCCATTCTAGAGATTAGCTCTTCGTCACTTAAGGTCATTAGAGCCGAGAACTATCATAGTTGCCTTCACGAGGACACCCTTCAAGAAATTAGGGTATTTATACTAGATCCCCAACTCTGTACGCCTTAGGGTTCCTTCCTTTAACGAAACCACCAACTCTTTTTTGCCCAATGAAGTCTACTTTAATGAGTCCATCTTTAAGGTTGGACTTCGTTTCCCGATGCCTAAATATATTATGGAAGCATTCCACCTCTTGAATCTTGCTCTTGCACATGCTCAATTAACCCCAAATTGCTAGGGATTCTTGGTCGGTATAGGATTCATTTCGGCTAGGGTCAATGTCATTGGCATACAACCTACCTTTGTCGAGTTCATGCATTGCTATAAATTCACCCCTTACCTTGGGCAAGGCTTGGGGTGCTTCTACCTTTCAAAGAGAGAAGTGTCGAACTTACTGACATTCTACTCTTCAAATGTGACGAGTAGGCCTGGCAATTCTGGACACGACTCGTGAAACCAACACGAACCCAACACAGATTTGGCAGGTTTAGATGTAGTCTTAATGGATTTTGGTGGTTAACGGGTTAACTCGACAGACCCGTGAAATAAACGAACCGATTTCGTGTTTAACTCATAAACTCGTTTCAACCCGTTTAACCCGTTAATAGTGATACTATAAATTTTTTTTAAAAAAGTTAGGTTTCTCAGCCTCTGCCTCATCTTACACCTTTCATCTTTTAGACTTATTCAAATTTAATAGTCATTTAATGCTTATTTTTTGTCTTTATTTTTTGTCCATTATTATATTAAACAGGTCAAACATATGTAATATGTAATGAGTTAATGATTTTTTGCGTGGACTCGAAATACTCTAACTTATTTTTTATTTAGCGGATGACACGCAGGTTATATCGAGTAACCCGTCTAATAAATGATTTGTGTATAGTTGGACTCATTTATATAAACGAATGGGATATAAATGGAGAGTTTTTTGACACAAACTCATTTCACCCGACACGAAACCATTCCATACGACACGATTGCCAAGCCTAGTGACGAGTGGAAAGGTATATTCTTCTTTGTCTCCGGACCTGATTGGTAAATTCTTCTTTGTCTATGGGGATCTCCCATTCCCTCTTTTTGTAAGTTGATTTTCTTTGGTGCAACTCGACATGCAAATTCACTAAACTTTCACCTTCTACTTCCTTGGAATACAGATAAATCAAATCCCCCACCCCCTGAATTAAAACTTTAGGTCAAGAAGGCTCTTGATTTTCCCACCAAAGATCTCTCCAATCTTGTGAGTAATCAAGTGCTCTTTGCGTGTCAACTAGGTCCTTCTCCCATTGCCTCCAAGCCTCTGACTCTTGTAGTTTCTTCCTCTAAATGTATGGTTTTGACTTGTTGTAGTTTGTTCTAACTTGGACATGCTTTGATATGTACTTTATTCTTTTTTAGCCATGGCTCCTAAACCGACAATAAAAAGTCCCTTCAAGAGGTTGTGGATAGGAGGGCTTCTGATGTCAGCCCTCCTCTGCGCAAGAGGCCAAGTGTATCTGTTCTTCGAGGTAAAGGAATATCCTTGAGCTCCACCAATTTGTAGGCATCCCCTTCTCCCTCTAAGGTTATCTCGGAGGAAGGAACTAATTTTATTGTAACTTATCAGTTGGAGGACCCCATTCTAGTGTCCCCTTGGTTGAAGCACTCTTGCCCCTTCAATAGATAAAAGGCACAGAAAAGGGTAAAATCTCCATTGAGTGCATTATTTTGCATGCTTTTATATCGTAAACCTCGCACTTTAATTTTGTTTAGTAGTTATATACTTTATTTTAGTTAGTTTGCATTTTACTAGGATTATTGTGTTTTGCAGGTAATTCTTTATAATGAAGATGGTTTAGAATTGATTTGATGCCTCATAAAGTCATGGAAATAAGCTAGGAGCTTTGGACTTTGAACGAGGAGTCTCACAGAAAAATTCAAGTAAAGAGTGCTTGAACCGGTAAGAGTTGTACCAATTCAT